CAGTAAAATACAATCAGGCGATGTCCTGTGAGCTCAAACGCGAGTAGGTCCCCGAGAGCATCATGGCCCTGCCCCCTTTTTCCCCTACCCCTCGTTCCTGACTCATTAACTACGTCGACTAATCCCTTGACCTTGCCCCTCCATATCGACGCACCCTATGCCCCCACCAATGTCTTCTGCTACCAACTTCCTGATCACTAATGATACTTATTTAGTAGCGCATCTGTGATATAAGTAAGTCTAGAGCCATCATTCAACCTAATCAGGATAATCTTACCTGACATACCTTTGGACCATTCTAGATTGTTTTGATCAGCCTAGACTGAGGCATCATTGATTTTTATCATAATATACTGGTACGTTTATTGGATATGTTACAACAAAGATCTCTGTCGATCGTCTTGCTGAATGAGTCTCTTCTGTCGGTTTTACGTCTTTCGGGGCGACAATTGACGACAAATCTAGAGATCTATAACTGATCTGATTCGTTCAAATAAATATTCAAACTTACGAGGATGAGTGCATAAAGCGACTTTAGACTGCTGCAGTCGAAGTGGATCTATGAATGACTGTCAGTGCTGCTACTAAATAAGTATTTCACTGTATGATTTATGTGAGAAGTTCTACTAACTAAATATTACAGTCCATAAATTTAAGATAATTTTCTGATTCTGCGGCAAGTAACATGTTGAGAAGATGTTTTAATTCTTTCACTCTCAGTTCGCGTTTAATATTAATATTCTACCAACTAAATCTTAAAAAATCGATATTTTTCAAAAAAGCAAAAACAATTAATTCTACCTAAGCAATATGGACATTTACATAATATACTTCAATAGGAATTTGAATTCAAACTGAAACATCACGATTCACAGAAAATTGAAAAATAAATAAAAAGTAATAAATAATTGATGCAATATCTACTTGTACATATCGTACATAGCACAAAAAGACAACAACTAAACGCGACTTTGTCGCCGTTTTCTTACAACTTTTGACCAACGGTATATAAAACTAGTATTCATAAATTATTTAGATCTAATGGAGAAACAAAAAATGAAGCATATACAAAATAAAACAAAAAGTGTATAAACAAAATAATAATACCATATTAGTTTGATTGTCTTTGCAAACCTATCAAAAAAGAGGGTTCGGCCTAGCAATAGAGCTACTATTAATAGTGAAATTCGACACAAATTTTACATCCAAGAGAGAAAAGGGATGATTCGTATGTATTATGAGTTTGAGCCGCTGAAAACGTAGATGTCGGTCTTTTTTTTGAAAAATAATACGTTTTGTGTACATCGCAATTAATTGAACTAATTATAAAGAAATGTTTTTCATTTCGAGCAAAACAATTTTCTGAATATGACCCATTTTACGAAGAAAAAGTTTCTTCGTGTATTTTTATAAAATGTGAATTTGAAAAGTTGTAAATTCTGTTGTATAATAATTAAACCATATAATAGTAAATAGCAAAGCCAAGCTTGGAGATGCACATACTTAGGTCGCAGATTAATATGGCGAGACCATATTTGGATCCAGCGGAAACGTTTCAATTAGCCTACAGCTTCGAAAATGTTACTAGCTGTTAGACATATAATAAAGAGTTATTAATATAATTAATATATAAGTGTATATGCAAACTGACATCCGAGCCGAGGATGTCAAACAGGCGTTATATAATTATAAGCTTGCTATTATTGCAGCCATAGGTCATAGACTATTGTTTTGCTCAGCGGCACCGAAATTAGCATGTTAACGACAGATCCGTGCCCGAAAAATGCTACTTTCGGACCGATGGACAAAAAGATCTTATTCTGATTTCTCCGTTAAACATTTCTTTGAATCATTATATAAAAAACTTCTCTTAAGTTAACTTGCACAGTGTGCTCTTGAACGTTCTCTTTTTTTTCATCAGTTTTAATAATATTGCCATTTCTACAGCGGATCAAGGGCTACTAACATCAATTACACGATAGGTTCTTTTAATTTTTTCTATAACAACGATAGTCAATATCTACATTCTGATACGCAGCAAAGATTTTGCTAAATACCTTTTTTGAGTTTTTTTGATTAATGAGTAGCGTGGTTTATTTTTTCCTAGACTTTGCGAGGACTCCATAAAGTTATAAAAACAGTTAATTTACCTGCATAACTCTTCAACCATATCTAATTCAAATTTACTTGGCTCTTTTGTTTCAGTTTCGTACATAATCTTTTGTAAACAACTTTTTCAAACGCGTTGGCAAATATTACATTATTATTTTTAACAAGAACTTTTCTCCATTCAGTCGATGCTTGTTAAGCGATCGGCACGTACATCGATTATTTGTCAATGACCGAACATATTGCACAGTTCACTATCATTGTAATCATCATCGCAACATTCATCATCGATACTCTCATCTTTATTGATTTTTAATAAACAACATTCTAATTGTTGTTCATTTAGTGATAACATTATTATTGCACTACAAAATAGAATTAACATCCCAATTCCAATTCCATAGACTATTCATCACTGCATAATTGTTTATCAAATGTTCTCTTCGCATACTGATCCTGCTTTTTTGCGCGTATTGTATACATACGTAATGTGCAACTAAGCTAACATTGGAAATTGGTCAGGATAGTTTACACACAAAAACTCTTCTAAAATTGAATGTAAAACTTCATGTACAGGCTTTAATGGTACTATTGTAGGTATTTCCTCTTCTTATACGTTTGTTGAACACGTTTTCACAATACTTAAAACCTATTGTGAATGTCATGAATAAGAACTTTTCAATGTCAACAATATTAAAATGCTTCAGTAGGAAAAGATATATCTGAAGTATAAAAAAACTCTGAGTCGACAATCACATTCACGAATAGTGCATATTTGAATGCTTATTTGAGTCGAAAGTCGGCTTGATATTTTTCTCAAGTATTGGGCATGAGCTTTGCTACATTTGCTGCAGATAATATATTACCATAGTACACCTGATTGAGATTAATGTTAAGCGCACGTTCTACATCGCCCATCAAACTAGACAGGTAGCAAAGGTCAGCAAGCCGGCGACGGAACGGTCGGCTTAGATCGCGCTGCGTCGCACAGTGGGATATTTTTTGTTTTTTTCGCATAACTCTCTTATAAGCCGCAATTTGCACTCGATTTTGACGATTTTTTAAAATTACTCACAATTAGTTGTACTTTTTGATGTTCCAGCGCCTTACTACAATCATTAATATTATTATAATTATTCTCAGATTTATTATAATTATCTATTATTCATCTTGCAAACATGTTCAATTTTACAATAATCTGTGTAAACAAATAATTAAAAAAAATCAATTTTGCAAATCTAACGTCAAATTCGTAATCAGCGACATACAAAATCAAAGAATCACCATGTAGCACCCTTGCACAGTGAAAAAACGACCTATACTCACTATCAAATAAACAACAATTTATTACAAAAATTCGCCATTTTCACACCTCCATGTTAAATTTTTTTTGTAACCATATGTTGAAACTTTCAGAATTTTGTGCTAAGATCTAACACTTTTTTTAACTGAAAATGAACAATTTTAATCTGGCCTTAAAAAATTTTGTTTACTAGTTCTTTTTAATAAATAGCCATATTGATTTTATTGTAGACAAAAAAAATTTTTGACCACGGATTCTTGTAGAGCAATCCCAAACATAATGGGAATAGAGTATAAAATCGTGATTATGCTAGTTTCTTAGTTATTGTTTACTTAAATTATTTATATTTGTTATTAATTAAGCGAGTGTGTAATACGGAATCCAAATTATGCGGGTAGGAAAAGTTAAAAATATATATTTACTCGTCAATACATATATTATTGACAATGCCAACAGCCTATAGTTCATCATGATTATTTAAATAATAAATAGTGTTATATTATTGATTTGTGAAGATAACATTGCAATATCTTTTTATTTTTTCGTTAAAACTAATATTGTGCGTCTACAAAATTTGTCTCTGAAAGTTTCACTTATCTTATTGTGTTATTTATTCACTTATATTGTTAATAATTATAATAATATTAATTATTGCAGTAAAGTGCTTGAACATCAAAAAGCACAACTAATTGCGAGTAAGTAAAAACAATCCGACAAAATCGAGTGAAAATTGCAACTTATAAGAAATTTATGGCAAAAACATCAGAAATATTCTATACTGTGCGCTGTAGGAAAACTCGATGTACATTATAAATATTGCGAAGAAATTCAAAAATTTGAAAATATGGCGAAATTTCCATATTAATAATATTTGCAATATTTGGTACGTGTATAATATTCATAACATATATTGTCATCATTTTCACAATATGTAATATGCGATTTCTGATTATATGAACATTCTAATTCGGCAAAATGGTTACCCAAAAAAAGATTCGTTACTAATTTTTAAATCATCGAAAGATTCGTAAGAAAATAGAAACATTTTTTATTACTCTATGTTAATTTACAATCTGTCTAACATGGTATGTAGCACCATACTTCAGTGGGTATTTTGTATTTGCTTTTAGATTATTTATATATCATATAGATGTTGGTTTATTTACATTTTCATCAATTGGCGTTTCTTATGTCTAGTAATAGTGATCATTATTTTGAGGAGTTGGCTATGGAAAACAGATAAATAATCCAGTGAAATAGGATTTCATAGTTCATGTAAAAAGTGTCGACTTTATTTGCTCTTCTCGTAGTCTTCTTTCAACAATACATGATATCAGTAACTGAACCAATATGTATTAATGATTTCAAGCCAAAAGGTAAGACCACTACCTCAAACTGATTATAAATTCACAGTACATATGTGTACTATAACAATAGATAAGTGTTGCAAATAATCATTTAACAGTAGTATTGTTTACTTTACTTTCACTAATACTAGTGTTTTTATGTATTGACTATTGCACACAAATATTACATTAAAAGTCAAAAACTTTTAATTTTAAGTGAAAATTTTGCCAACGTTTCCGTTTCAACTATTTTAATACAAAATACGTCTTAATATTTGAAATTTTATAAATTTGTAGGATAATCGCATGTTATAACTCACAAATACAAAAATATAATTTCATTGAATACGAGAGAAAGGTTTTAAAGCTGACCAAGAATAATGGCATATTAAAAGTTACTATAATTTCCATACATATATTTACTTTATTATCCAAATAATTTATCACTTATTACAATATCATTTTTTTCAAAATATAAATAGTCAGTAGAATCATACAAAATCTAAACAACCATAAGTCGAGGAGCAATATTCATTGCCATTAGCTCTTGGAACAGAAGTTTGGCTGCATAAGGTAACCTAACTTGAGATATTTGTGTTTTGTTTTTACATCCTTTGCATTCGAATGTATTATTTCTAAGGTTTGCAATAGCAATCAAACCGCAGAAGTTGCAAACATGGATCCGATATGGGTCAGAAACTTCAAATAAACGTTCTCGCAAAAATTGAGCAGCTCCGTGACTAATTTGACAGTCGCGTTCCATCTCTCCAAAACGTAAACCTCCATCTCTGTAAACAAATATTTAGAATTATTTTTTGTAGTATCAAAATTTAAGCACCAGTTTAATGATAATACATCGTTATTAAAATTCAAACACAATCAATTTAAAATTCATAATTAGTATGATGTATAACTGAACATAAAAAAGGAAATCTGTTTGAAAGAAATGAATTCGAGTACTAACCTAGCTCGACCCTCCATGGGTTGTCTCACTAAAATTTGCACAGGCCCTCGAGCTCTACTGTGAATTTTGTCATCTACCATGTGCTTTAGACGTTGATAATATGTAGGTCCTAAAAACACTTGTGCATTAATTTTACGACCGGTATGTCCATTGTACATGACTTCATTGCCTCGAAGCTGATATCCATACTCCATAAGAAGTGTTGAAATTTTTTGTACATTGACAGCGTCATTGAATGGAGTGGCATCACCAATTTCTCCCTTATTGGAAGATACTTTTCCTTGAATACATTCGATCAAGTGACCGATTGTCATACGTGAAGGGATAGCGTGAGGGTTAATGATAATGTCTGGAGTAAGACCTTCACATGAAAAAGGCATGTCTTCTTGGCGATATTGAATGCCGCATGTTCCTTTTTGTCCATGACGAGACGCAAATTTATCACCAATTTGTGGAATACGTACACTGCGCACACGGATCTTACAAAACTTGTAGCCATCACTGTTCAGTGTCAACATTACTTGATCTACAATTCCCGTTTCACTGTTACGAAGGAATGTAGAAGCATCACGTTTTGTGAAACGCTTGGTAGTGCTATCCAACTGCAAGATTAGTAGCAAAAAATTATAAATAATAAAAATCTTTAATAGTTGTTAATAATAGTACAGTACTATATAAAAAACATTTGTTAAAAACAATTACAGTGATACATGTATTTTTGCAATCTTAATTAAGTGTGAGTCTAATAATATTTTCTATACAAAAATATGAGGTAGCTTTTATTAAAATAAAAAAGTTTAAATATACCTCGTCATCATTTTCTTGTAAAGTCATAGTTTTTCCAATAACAACATCATCACCAGAGACTCGAATACCTGGAGCAATAATACCATCATCATCCAATTTATCATAAAGAGCATTACGCATTCCCTGACACGTTTGCCGGTTCGGTTTCTCAAACTGCTCTTCAACATCTCCCATTTTTTTAGTTTCAGAATCTTTGTAGGAACGATAAAAAACTGATCTAAAGAATCCTCGTTCAACAGCACTTGCATTAAGAATGACGCTATCTTCTTGGTTGTAACCAGTATAGCATAAAATTGCAACAATACTATTAATGCCAGCAGGCAATTCTCTGAACCTAAGATATTCCATTGATCGAGTTGTTACAAGTGGTTTGTGAGGATAATATAAGACATGAGCAAGGGTGTCCATCCGTACATGGAAATTTGTAATATAAACTCCCATGGCTTGTTTACCCATAGCACTCTGTAAATTAAATTTACTACATTAGTATTTTTTGTTAAGAATTATTATGCTGATTTTAAGTAAAGTTAATTATTTTTTTACTTGATAAGTGTTCCTAGGACTTTGGTTGTGATCAGGGAATGGAATAATGGAGGCACATACTCCTAAAATCATAGCAGGGTGAATTTCACAGTGAGTATATGTAGTACAATAAGCGTACTCTTTTTCTTGTCTCAAGTCATCAGGTGACATTGCAATCATAACTGTTTCTTCTTCAAGAGTATCAATATACTCAACTACTCCACTAGCAACGAGCTCCTGCCATCTAATAAAAAGACGTTCCATTTAAAAACTTAAAACTCTTAATAATAAGCATATTTAAAAAATTTTATAATATTCATTTTACCCGTCATTATTATAATCTCTATCTTTCAACATATCAATATGACGCTTTTTGAGTAACAATTGTTGGTTTTCAACGATCAATAACGGCCTACTAATTCTTCCAGCATCTGTATAAATTCTTATTTCTCGATCTCTGATATCTCGAATCATTGACACTTCCGATACAATGATGTCCATCTGACGTCTTAGTTTCCTCAGTGTGGCCATGAGTTGATCAGGATCTCTATGTATTCCTACCCAACACCCGTTAACGAAAATTTTCGTAGCATCAGCTATCGCGCTTGGTGCTATTTCTTCCAAATTTTCCATAGACCATTCTTCTAAGAACTCAAGAATAGGAGACGGTTGTGAACCGACACTAATATAAGCCATAAGGGCCAAATTTTTAACCAAACCAACAGCAGCACCTTCAGGGGTCTCAGCTGGACACAACATTCCCCATAGTGTGTTATGTAGCTGTCGTGGCTTAGCCAATTTACCATCACGTCCAATAGGAGAATTTACTCTCCTCAAGTGAGATAATGTTGAGGCAAAAGTTAATCTGTTCAATACCTGTGAAACTCCAGCTCGAGCTAAATGGGCTTTCTTCTGATCACCCCAATTACCTGTAGCCAATGAATACCTTAAGCCATCTGTTATAATTTTCGTTTTAATTGCAAGTTCAAGATTAAAGTCTTTTCCTTTATCTATGAACTTTTGGGCATACATTCTAACTTCTTTCATAAGATTTTTAAATAATCCTCTGAATAAGAAAGCTAGTAGAGGACCTGCCAAATCTAGACGTTTATTTCCGTAATGATCACGATCGTCTAATTCTCTACGACCCAAAGAAGCAGATAAAAGTCTGTGTACCATATAACCCAAGAAGTAAGCTTTTTTTGTTTCACAAAAATCACTGATCCCTACATGAGGTAAGGTCTCTTTTTGAAGAATTTCTCTGGCATATTTGATACGTTTTTCCTTTGTTACACCAGGTCTTGCACCACGTGTACCAATGAAATTTAATGCTACAGTTTGTTCTTGAAACACAAATGCATCATCCAAAGATGGTTTTACCATTTCCATCATTTCTGGGTCATCGAAATCGTAGATAATATGTTCCAAAATGTCACGATCTGCCACGAAACCCAAAGCACGAAATACAATCATAATTGGGATTTCTTGCCTAATGTATGGAAGAACGGCCACTATACGCTGACCAATGGCAGATTTCTTAATATTCTGTAAATAATACACTAATTATAATGAAAATAATTTGGTACACATTTATTTATTTTTAAGAAAGATAGAAATATTGAAATACACAATTATCATTATGTTTCACTTACAGCACCACTCTTAGCCATCATATTGATCCATAGTGTTGAAGTCGGTCGAGAACTGTGTTCTAGGCATGATCTTATTTCACATTTATATGCATATTTACCATCTTTCATACTAAACACATATACTGTATTTGTAGCCATTTTTTCTTGAGCAATCAATACCTGTCAAAAATAAGAAATTAAATTATAAAATATTATAAGAAATTAAATTATTCACTTCGTCATTAACACTGCAATAATACAAATTTATTAGTTAAAAATAATAAATGTTTAAAGAACAAATTATATACCTTTTCTGATCCATTAATGATGAAATAACCACCAGGATCTAGAGGACATTCGTTTAACTCTGTTAAATCTCGATCTGATAACCCAGCAAGTAAACAATATTTTGACCTCAACATGATTGGAATTTTTCCAATGAAAGTCTTTTGATGTTGAGTTTCTGTAAATCAATAAACTATGAAATCTTGTAGAAGTATTTTAGTTTAATAATTTAATTTTTTATTTTACCTGAACGTTCCTCTCTTGGATCTTTACCATCATCATCATTAAAGGTTTTTACAATTGTTTTAGTTATATCTACATACAAAGGTGCGGAATAAGTCAAATTCCTCAGTCTTGCTTCATTGGGCATCATAGGTGATGGAGCACCATCTTTTTCCCAATGAGTTGGTTTAGACAAATAAATTTGTTCAAATTTAACTAAATGCTTTACCGGTATTTCGATTTCGCCAGTAGTATGTTGAGCTTCAGCTTCTAATTCAATTTGAGGTGAATCTTCCACAATACGCTGAACAGACATTTCAATGAATTCATCGAAGCTGTCAAGTTGCTGACGCACAAGACCTTTTTCATCAAAATAGGCGTTGATAACGATCCAACAGGCTTCTTGCCATAATTTTGATGAAATCTCTTCTGCCTCCTCATTTTCATATTGATCTACGAGATAATAAGTTGCACAATAATAATTTGTGAAAATATAAATAAATAGAGGTTAAGTGAATACATAGGTTACGTTTGACAAACACTAAAAATATATATCCAAAAGCTTTCAATAAATAACTTAAAAATCACCAATATTTACCTTCGTCAGCATACATGATCAATTGCAGGTAAAATAATCCTTAGTGCTGATGCACACTTATTAACGTTGTTTTTGAGAACTTCACGTTTTTGATGAAATTCTTTTATACTGTACAGTGTTAATTGTACATGGCTACGTAAGCTTGTAGAGAAAATGTTACTATGTGGAATGACACCAATTAAGTTGGAATAATGAAAACACTTTATTTCAGCGCGACAATATTCGTGAGCTTAAATAAATTCCAGCGGCCGCAATTGCCCGCTCGAACAGATTGTTGACTGTGATGTTTTAAAGCGTTCCACGCTAAAGCGACTAGTCCGAGCGCCCCGTAGTGGCTAATCGTCGAGGCTGGAGCGACTGGAGCTAGGAGAGGAAAGAGGAGACTTGTGAATCTGACGCCCAAAAAAATTTTTTAATCATATTTTTGAGTTTTCATGAGCTAAAACGTTTTCTCCCTTTTTCCAGATTATGTCTCCGCTTGAAATTTTATTTCCGGATTTTCCGTTTTTAAGAAAATTGCGAAAAAAAAGGGCGTTCGTACAATCGTACAGCGCGCAAAATGCATTAAACATTTTTCTCCTGTTTAAAAAGAAATAATATCGATAGCGGATGATAGCTCCTTATTCCCGGATTACGAAATAATATTCCTTTTGTCGATTTTCTATCAAAAATTGAGGAAAATGTAAAAATTAGTAATATGCGGCAGTTAGTCGATAAAACAGGTAAAACGTTTGCTAATCACCAGATATCCCTATATGAATTCTACATTGCGTAATTATAATAATAAGTAATTTAAATTCTACTCAATTAACCATTCACATTTTATGTACATATACATAAATAATTTTTTCTAAGGTTTTCTATAAGTTTGTCGACATGTCAATTATATAATTAATATTTTAACTATATAAAATAACATAATTCTGAACAAAGTAATAAAAAAATTGAATTGACTAGTTAAAATTGAAAAAAACAATCATTGATCAAAAACTTATAGCTTAGGTTTATATTTGTTGAATTATTTAATAACGAACTTAATTTTACTTCCATTCTTCTTAACAATTTAAAGTAATAATCCATTGTAGCATATTATAAAAATACTTCAATATACAGGTCAGATTAAAATAAACTATATTTGTTTTGTCAAAAATATATAATTTATTTTTCCTTGCTTATGTTATATATACAATATTTATTGATAAACATTGTGAACAATATGTCGTATTATAAAATATATTAAAAACTATAAAACAATAAGGTTGGATTATTTATATTTTTTTATGCAAATACCTAATCGTAATCATTATTCACAAAATTGACAAAAGTGTTGCTACGTTGAAACAAATATATTTTTGACAAAACAAATATAGTTTATTTTAACCTGACCTGTATATTGAAGTATTTTTATAATATGCTACAATGGATTATTACTTTATATTGTTAAGAAGAATGGAAGTAAAATTAAGTTCGTTATTAAATAATTCAACAAATATAAAACTAAGCTATAAGTTTTTGATCAATGATTGTTTTTTTCAATTTTAACTAGTCAATTCAATTTTTTTATTACTTTGTTCAGAATTATGTTATTTTATATAGTTAAAATATTAATTATATAATTGACATGTCGACAAACTTATAGAAAACCTTAAAAAAATTATTTATGTATATGTACATAAAATGTGAATGGTTAATTGAGTAGAATTTAAATTACTTATTATTATAATTACGCAATGTAGAACTCATATAGGGATATCTGGTGATTAGCAAACGTTTTACCTGTTTTATCGACTAACTGCCGCATATTACTAATTTTTACATTTTCCTCAATTTTTGATAGAAAATCGACAAAAGGAAAATTGTTTGGTAATCCGGGAATAAGGAGCTATCATCCGCTATCGATATTATTTCTTTTTAAACAGGAGAAAAATGTTTAATGCATTTTGCGCTGTTTAATGCTGTACGAACGCCCGATTTTTTTTCGCAATTTTCTTAAAAACGGAAAATCCGGAAATAAAATTTCAAGCGAAGACATAATCCGGAAAAAGGGAGAAAACGTTTTAGCTCATGAAAACTCAAAAATATGATTAAAAAATTTTTTTGGGCGTCAGATTCACAAGTCTGAATAGAGGATGTGTGGCGCCCATATAATAGTAGTACGTACAGTAGAATTAGCTTAAAAAGTTAGAAAATGTGGATGTGAGAACAACAGGGCTAATTATTGTTAAGATCGCTCAAGAATATCATCATAATGATGTATTTATACTGGTGTATCGAATTTCCTATTTATTTTTTCTAATTTTTTTTTCTAATAACTATCGTAATTGTTTATTAAGGTAAAGCTAAAATGATAGGCATATAAATAGTAATATCGTGGGAAAACCATGATTGACAAAGACGCTAATTTTTTCACGTATGCTACGAATGGTCTAATATCATAAGAATTCACTTAATTGGTAATTTTTTATTATTGAACAGCCGAAAAGATTTTTTTTAATGTATACAAATTGTTTACTTAATAATAATTGCAATATTTCCGCCAATTTTCGGTTAAATGAAAAACTGACAATATCTATGTAAAGTTCTTTGATTAACACATCTTTTGACGCTTTATACAAACGATTTCGATTTCGCTAATCGAAGTTAGCGAATTCCAAAGTTAGGTAGCTATTTACGACATTCGATCAACAATTTTGAGAAAATAAAAGTACCGTCTTTTAGCTTGTTCTCGGGGGGGGGGGGGGGGGGCTGAAAGAAAAATAGTGGATTTGTCGCTTAACATTCGCTGCACGCTCTTAATATCAAGTTATCTCTGCTTCTGTTCAACCAATTTTTATCATTTTTTTTATTGATATAGTGGATTCTAAGGAATTCGACGGTATACTAATCATTACTCTATTTTCACATAATTACGACCTATTATATTTGCAAAAATTTGCGGTGATTTCCTGCATGTACTGTAAAATATAAAAAATAGGTTCAACAATTCTAAAGGGCTAGCAAACAGTCGGTAGAGCAATGTAGGCAGTTCTGAGAATTAATTTAGGTCGACATCGGGCCGTGGTCAGCACGCAGCAACCGTTGAATTGTCACACACTTTATAGCTTAGCAATGTGCTTACGGATCACCAGTGCA